TAAATGGATCGAGAACTAAAGGAGTCGAAAAGTCGAAAAATTGAGAATCCGAAATAGGCCAAAATCGAAAAATGGAAAAGTTAAAAATTGAAAAATTGATAAATCGGGAAATTGAACAATCGAAACATCGAAATGTCGGAATCGCGATAAATCGAGACATTAAAAATTTGAATAGTCGAACATTTAAAAATTCGTATGAGAAGAAGAAGAACTGAAAGCTCGAGAAAACGAAAAATCCACAATTTTAAAAGTTGAAAAATTAAAATATCGAAAAGTTGAAAAATTAAGAAATCTAAATATAAAACAGTCGAAAAATTGAAAAATCTAAAATTAAAAACGAAAAATTGAAAATTCAAAATGTACAAAATCGAGGAATTAAAAAATCCAAATGTCAAGAAATCGGAAAATCGAAGAACCAAAATACTGAAATATCTCAAAACTGAAACATCGAAAAATATCAAAAATATTCGAAAAATTGAAGAATCGAAAACTTGAAAAATTCCGAAACTGGAAGAAATATCCAAAAATAGAGAAATTAAAAAATTGAAAAATAGACATATTTTAAAAATCAAAAATTGGAAAATCGAAAATTTAAAAATTCGGAAAAGTGAAGTATCGAAAAGTTGAAAAATTGAGAAATCGAAATATTAAACAGTTGAAAAACTGAAAAATCTAAAATTTAAGAAACGAAAAACAAAATCCAAAAAATCGAAAAATCGAGAAATCGAATGAATCGAAAAATTCAAAAGTCCCAGAATTGAAAGAAATCCAAAAATTGAGAAGTTAAAAATGTGAAAAATTTAGAAATCGAAAGAGCAAAAAAGCGGTCTCGAAAATTCGAAAACTTCAAAAATTGAAAAACTAAAAAAAGTAAAATATCAAAAACCGAGAAATCCAAAAATCGAAACATCGAAAAACTCAAAATCTGAGACATCGAAAAATCAAAAAATAAAATAAGAGAATCGAGAAATCGAGGAGTCGAAAAGTTGAGAAGTCGAAAAATCGAAAAACTGAGAAACCGAAATAGGCCAAAATCAAAAATCGAGAAATTTAAAAATTGAAAAGTTGACATATACTTTAAAAATCGAAAAACCAAGTTGGCAAACATCGAAACAAAAAAATCGTTAAATCGCAAAATTGAAAAATAGAAATACTGAAGAACTGAAAAATCGAAAAATTGAAAAATCAGAAAATTTAAAACATTGGAAAATTAAAATATCGAAAAAAAAATTATAAATAAAAAAACAGAAAAATCGAAAAATCGAGAAATTGAAACTCCAAAATTTAAAAAATCGAAAAATTGGAACATCGAGAAATTGAAAAATCAATGGATCGAGAATAAAGGAAAAGTCGAGAATTCAAAAAATTGAGAATCCGAAGTAGGCCAAAATCGACAAATGGGAAAGTTAAAAATTGAAAAATTGGTAAATCGAAACATTTAAAATTTAAAACTGAAAAATCACAACTGAAAAATCGAAAAACCGAAAAGTAAAAAATTAAAAAAACCGAGAAATCGAAAACTCGAAACGTCGAAAAATTCGAAAACTGGGACATCGAGAAATCGAAAAATTAGAGGATCGAGAAATCGAGGAGTCGAAAAATCGAAAAACTGAGAAACCGAAATAGGCCAAAGCCAAAAAATTCGAAAAGTTAAAAATTGAAAAATTGATTAATTAAAATTTAAAAAAGAAAAATTGGAAAATCGCACAATTAAGAATTCGGGAAATGTAAAAATTGAAAAGTTGACATATACCTTAAAAATCGAAAAACCAAGTTGGCAAAAAATTACAACAAAAAAATCGTAAAATCGCAAAATAGAAAAATAGAAATATTGAAGAACTGAAAAATCGAAAAATCAAAAAATTTAAAACATTGCAAAATTAAAATATCGAAAAATTAAAAAAAACAAATTGAAAAGTTCCCAAAACTGACAAATCCAAAACTTAAAAAATCGAAAAATCTAAAAATCGGAAAGTCAAAAAATTTTTTAAAGCGAGAAACCATGATGGCAGGAAATCGAAACAAAAAAATCGTAAAACCGCAAAATTGAATAATCCAAAAATCGAAGAATTGAAAAATAGAGATATAGAGAAGAACTGAAAAACCGAAAAATCGAGAAATCGAAAAATCTGAAATTTAAAATACTGAAAAATTCGAATATTGAAAACTTGAAAAATCGAGAAATCGATACTCCAAATTTTAAAAAATGAAAAAAATAAAAAAATCGAAAAACTGAAAAACCGAAACATCAAAAAAATCAAAATCTGAAACATCGAGAAATCGAGGAGTCGAAAAGTTGAGAAGTCAAAAAATCGAAAAACTGAAACCAAAATAGGCCAAAATCAAAAAATTGAAAAGTTAAAAATTGATAAATTAAAAATTGAAAAAAAAAACATTTTGAAAATGGAAAATTTAAGAATTCGCCAGTTAGAAAATGAAGTGTAGAAGAATTGAAAACTTGAGAAATCGCAAAATCCAGAATTTTAAAAATTTAAAAATTAAAACATTGAAGAACTGAAAAATCGAGAAATCAAAAAATTAGAGGATCGAAAAATCGAGGAGTCGAAAAATCGAAAAACTGAGAAAACGAAATAGGCCAAAGCCAAAAAATTCGAAAAGTTAAAAATTGAAAAATTATTAATTAAAATTTAAAAAGAAAAATTGGAAAATCGGACATTTAAGAATTCGGGAAATGTTAAAATTGAAAAGTTGACATATACTTTAAAAATCGAAAAACGAAGTTGGCAAACATCGAAACAAAAAAATCGTTAAATCGCAGAATTGAAAAATAGAATTACTGAAGAACTGAAAAATCGAAAAATAAAAAAATTTAAAACATTGAAAAATTAAAGTATCGAAATATTGAAGAATCGGGAAATCTAAACATCAAAAAAATACAAATTCGGATGCCTAAAATTTAGAAATAAAAAACTGAAAAATCGAGAAATGAAACTCCAAAATTTAAAAAATTGAAAAATTGGAAAATCAGGTAATTGAACGAACGAAACATCGAAAAATTGGAAGTAAAAAGTAAAAAATCGAAACATTGAAAAATTCAAAAACTGGGACATCGAGAAATTCAAAAATCAATGGATGGAGAACTACAGGAGTCAAAAAGTCTAGAAGTCGAAAAATTGAGAATCCGAAATAGACTAAAATCGAAAAAACGAAAAGTTAAAAATTGAAAAATTGGTAAATCGAAAAATCTAAAATTTAAAACATTGAAAAGTTGAAAAATTGAGAAATCGAAATATTAAACAGTCGAAAAACTGAAAAATCTAAAATTTAAAAAACGAAAAACTAAAAATCAAAAAAGTAAAAAATCCAGAAGTCAAAATTTTAAGACTGAAATATCACATAACTGAAAAATTGAAAAATCGAAAAGTAAAAAATCAAAAAATCCAAACGTCGAAAAATTCAAAAACTGAGAAATCGAGAAATCGAAAAATCAAAGGATAGGGGAATAGAGTCGAAAAATGGAAAAAACTAAAAATGGAAATATTGAAAAAATGAAGAATGGTATAATTAAAAATCCCAGAATTGAAAGAAATCTAAAAATTGAGAAATTAAAAATGTGAAAAATTTAGGAATCGAAAAAGCAAAAAAGCAGCCTCGAAAATTCGAAAAACGGAAAAATCGAAAAATTGAAGGCCTGGAAATTTAGAAACGCCAGAATTGTGAAAAATTGAAAAATCAAAATATTTCAAAATCGTAAAAATGAAGAGGAGAAAAATTGAGAAACCGTAAAACTGAAACATTGGCAAATTGAGAAATCGAAAAATAAAAAAATCGAGAAATCGAAAATTTGAGGAATGAAAAAATTGAAAAAGTCCAAAATTGAATTATTGAAAAATTGTGAAATCTAAATTTGAAAAATCGAGATATCGGTAAGCCGAAAAACTCTAATATCGAGGATAAAAATTCATAAACCACAAGTTCAGGACTATGCTATTTTTTAAGTTCTAAATTATTGGTAGCAAGTTTAGCATGTCAGTTTCTTGTTATCAATTTTGATGGCCAAAATTTGAATCCGACATCAAGTATGCCAACCTAAAACTTCAAATATACTGCAATCCTGACAAAAAAATCACAAACATTAATATGTAGTCACTCGGTATTTTTCTTAAAAAAAAAGAAAAGATAAACAGGTTAATAGCATTCTGTTTTCGATTGTTATAGAATATGAAAAAGTCACTTCATAACTTTGTATAATTTTTAACATTCCACATGTAAGTTTTTGGAAAAAAGTCTAAAAAATACAACAAAATTTTACAGTTTACTTTAGAAACTACAAAATCGACTTCTCCTAAAAACTTGATAACGTCATCACTAAATTTTATTAAAAAAGTCTTATTTGAAACATATAAAACATACAAACAAATTTTTTAGTTGAGATTGTAGTACATAATTCAGCCTCGGTTTAGTTTTTACCGTGACTTTTAATACAGAGTTGTTTTGGTGGTTGCCTATCTGAAGAAACTATTTTTGCACCACAACATCATGTTTTTGGCCATCATATACAAGTTTTCTAGAAAAAAATATATATTTCGAACCATTTCGAAGCATTTATTAAAATCTGTAGAAAATGTAACACATTTATCGAAAATCTACTAAAAAAAATTTCTTATCGAACGTGAATTAGGGAATTTGTTGCAATCGGGTTCATTTAGCAAATGATTAAAAAATTTCATATTTTTTGATGTTTCGCAGTTTCTGGCATACGAAAAAGTAGATGCTTCGTTCTATCTGTTCCTACGCCTTTTTTTAGAAAACGAAAGGATCTCGGGGCTCCATAACTTCCATAGTGTTTTTTTTTAAAGAAGGTGTTTTTTAAACAATATATTGGTATTATTCATTATTAGTTATTTGGTTATAAATTCAACCTCAGTTTTACGTTTCATTAATGATAAGAATTGTGACAGAAATGGACTTCATGTTAATTTTAAGGTTTATATTGTATCTTTTTGAACCTGTAATAATCGTGTAATCTTTTTAACCAGAAACCCAGCAACAATCAGGAAGAGAACCGAAGGAAAGCCATGTATCAACTAATTAGTAAAGAACAACAGTACGCAACAGGGTTACAATTCGCTATAACGAGGTTCGTGTCGGCGCTGGCCGAACGAAAAGACTTAATAACACCTGCTGAACATAAAATACTCTTTCAAAATTCGGAAGAGGTGAGTAGAAATTCCGTTGTCGTTTCCCGTGGAAGCAACCTTGTAAAACTGTACCGTAAAACGAGTGCCCGTAAAAATTTAAAAAGGTTAGCTCTTTCCTCCACTTTTCATCCCATAAAACTTTTACACTAGTCTCAGAAGTACGCGCTGGGATGAGCAGAATAAGGCGTAGCCGCATGCATTCTCGCGCTAAAATACCCACCCACTTCTTCGATAGATTGATGTTTTCGGGGCTGATTTCTAGTACCGACAATAACGTCAAACAACTTGCAGATTCTTAGGATAACTGAAGATATATTAGATATATTAATTCACGAAGACGGAGATCCGCACTTTCACACTTTCATTCGGACGTATCAGGTGAAGGTGAACGAAATCACGACGGCGTATCGACGATATTGCTCAGGAATTAAAAAAGCCGATTGCGTGTTGGCGAATAAAACGAAAAACTCCACGTCGGATTTTGTTAGATTCCTACAGACTCCTTCGATTCCCAGAAGACGGCCCGATATCACCACGTTTATTCACAAACCGTTGGAGCACTACAGGGAGGTGCTGAAAGCGTTCACTGTAATACAGAGTAACACTAAACCCAATCATGCAGACTATACTGTGATAAATCAAGTTGTGCACAGTCTGCAGGTAATAACGTCAGGAATGTTAAGTTTAGTTCTAGTACAAGATTAATTACAGTTTACACAGCAGCAACTCATTGTTTTAATCTAGCACCAGCTAGCACCATTATTTTCATAACTAGACCACTCTGCAAATATTAAAAAATAATAAAAAAAAACAAAAAAATGCAGCCCCAACTTTTTTCCTTTAATGGTAAAAATCTGTAGACTAATAGTTTGGTGCTAACACCGACTGGATTCATTAAAAAAATGTGTTTTTATTAAATAAAATCATAGCTCTAAAATTTACATTAATAAATATTATTTCAATTTTATAAATTAAGATACTCGTTCACATATGGTTTATGGTTTATAAATGTGTGTTCAGTTTTTCCCTAGACATCCAGATATTTCGAAAAAATCAAAAACTGATGACGTCATCTTACAATTCCGTCCAATAAATGTGCTTTAAATTTTGTAAATTAGCATGCTCCTGCATGTGTGATTCACGAACTCATGTTGAGTTGTTACTCTTGGATCCAGATTTTTGGAAAAAAAATCAAAATTTTATTACAATATTTTACAATTTAACATTGAAATTGTAAAAATCGAATGCTGTGAAATTTTTGCAAACATCGTAAGGTTATTGGATATATCTATATTTTTTCCGTTGGTTATTATTTCCATTAAATATGTATATTTCATAATGTCCACACTTGTGCGGTGTGTCAACTATGCCACTAGGTTATTATTATTACCAAACGAAAATCGCAAACTCAAATTTTATAATAAATATTTTACAGAAATGAGATTTGTTCTCGGGTCGCCAATTTTTCGTGTTTTTTTTTTGGGATGTGAAACCTCGGAGGTTCGAACTGTATTTTTTAAGAAGGAGAATGTTAAACCTTCTCGGGAGTTCCAATAGTTTTTTTTTTTAAAGAAGATAAAATCTTCTCGGGTGTACTTTTTTTTAAGAAAGTGAAATTTTCTCAGCGGCTAACTGTTTTTTTTTTTAAGAAGGAAGATTGTGAAACATTTCCGGGAGTCCAAATGTCTTTTACTAAGAGTATGGAACCTTCTTGGGGCCACCAACTAATTTTTTTAAGAATGTGAAACTTTCTCGGAACCCCCAAGTGTCTTTTTTTTCAAAAATGTGAAATCTTTTCGGGGGCTCTAACTGTCTTTTATAAAAAGGAAAAATGGAAAACTTTTCGGGGGCCCAGTTGCCTTTTTTTAAAGAAGGTGAAATCTTCCCAGAGGCTCTAACTTTTTTTTAGAAAGAAAGAATGTGAAACCTTCTCAGTGGTCCCAACTGTCCTTTTTCTAAGAAGGTGAAATCTTCTCGAAAGCCGCAGTTGTTTTTTAAGGATGTAAAACCTTCCCGGGGCCCCCAATTGTTTTTTTAAGGATGTGAAACCTTCTCGGAGCCTCGAATTGTCTTTTTTAAGAAGGAGAATGTTAAACCTTCTCGGGTGTACTTTTTTTAAGAAAGTGAAATTTTCTCAGTGGCTAATTGTTTTTTTTTAAGGAGGAAGAATGTGAAACATTTTCGGGAGTCCAAATGTCTTTTACTAAGAGTATGGAACCTTCTTGGGGCCCCCAACTCCTTTTTTTAAAAATGTGAAACTTTCTCGGAACCCCCAAGTGTCTTTTTTTCAAAAATGTGAAATCTTTTCGGGGACTCTAACTGTCTTTTTTAAAAAGGAAGAATGGAAAACTTTTCGGTGGCCCAGTTGCATTTTTTTAAAGAAGGTGAAATCTTCCCAGAGGCTCTAACTTTTTTTTAGAAAGAAAGAATGTGAAACCTTCTCAGTGGTGCCAACTGTCCTTTTTCTAAGAAGGTGAAACCTTCTCGGAAGCCCCAATTGTTTTTTAAGGATGTGAAACCTTCTCGGAGGTTCGAACTGTCTTTTTTAGGGAGAATGTTAAACCTTCTCGGGAGTTCCAATAGTCTTTTTTTTAAAGAAGGTAAAACCTTCTCGGGTGTACTTTTTTTTTAAGAAAATGAAATTTTCTCAAGGGCTCCTACTCTTTTTTTTTTAAGAAGGAGGAATGTGAAATCTTCTCGGGGCTCTAACTGTTTCTTTTAAGGAAGAATGGAAAACCTTTTCGGGGGCCAGTTGTCTTTTTTTTTTAAAGGTGAAATCTTCTTAGGGGCTCTAATTTTTTTTTAGAAAGGAACAACATGAAACCCAGTTGCTCCCAATTGTCCTTTGTTTAAAATGCGAAACCTTCTCGGGAAGCCCATTTGTTTTTTTTTTCTAAGAGTGAAACCTTCTCGAGGAGCCCAATCTTTTTTTTTAAGGTGAAACTTTCTCGCGAGCTCTATGAGTTTTTTAAGCAGGAAGAATGTGAAACTTTCTAGGAGGTCCTAATTGTCTCTTTTTTTAAGAAGGTGAAACTTTCTCGGGGACCCAAAAAATCTTTTAAAAAATTGAAGAACTGAGAAATCGAAAACCAAACAAATTGAAAATTCGAAAACGAACATCGAGAATTCGAAAATCTAAGAATCCAAAACCGAAAAAATAAAAATTCGAAAATCGAAAAATTCAAGAATTGAAGTATAGAAAAAACGAAATATCGAGAGTCAAAAAATTACAAATTTAAAAATTCAAAAAATCAAAAATCGGAATGTAGAAAGATTGCAAATTCGAATATCGAAAAGTCTAATAAACGGAAGATTGGAAAAATTGAAACGCTGAAAATTCAAAAAATCAAATCGAAAATTCGAAAAAAAAAGAAAAAAATTTAAAAACCCAAGGATTGAAAAATTGTGAAAGATCGAGAAATCGAAAAGGAAACAAATTGAAAATTCGAAAAATTCAATGTATCAAATATCAAAAAAAAAAAACGAAAATCTAGGAAATCAGAGAAATGAAAATTCGAAAATCGTGATTTCGACAAATCCAAGAATCAAAATAGAGAAAAAAATTAAATATCAAGAGTCGAAAAATGGAAATTCAAAATTTCAAAAATTGAAATTTTGAAAAATCAAAACATGAAACGATCGAGAAATTAATCGATAAACGGAAAAATCTTAAATTAAATATCGTTAAGTTGAAAAATCCAGAAATAGAAAAATTCCCAAAATTGAAGTGTTGAAAAGTTGAGAAATGGAATGCTTAAAAATTGAGAAATCGAAAAATTGAAAAATCGACCTGAAAAATTAAAAAACGAGAAATACAGAAATCGAATATTCTAAAATAAAAAAAACTGAAACTCGGAGAGTCGAAAAATTGAAAAATCTCAGAACTGGAAATGTAGAAAAATTGGGAAATTGGCAAATTGAAAAGTGGAAACATCAAAAAATTAGAAAATCGGAAAATTGAAAAACCGAAAAATCGAAAGATCGAGCAATTGGAAAAAAAAACATCGAGAAATCGAAGCATCAAAAGATCGAGAAATCTAAAGTGGAGGAGTTGAAAATTTGAAAAATCTGGACATCTGAAAATCTAAAAATTATTAATTTAAAAAACTGTAAAATGTGAATTTAAAAAAAATGGAAAACTTCAAATCGAAACATCGAAATTGCGATAAATGGAGAAGTGGAAAAATTGAAGAAGCGAAAAACTCAAAAATCGAGAAACCGAAAAATTGAAAAATCAAAAATCCGAAAAATTGAAAATTTAAAAACTGACAAATTAAAAAATCGTAGAATTGAAATATCGGAAAATAGAAAAATAGAAAAATAAAAAACTGATTGATACTGATTGATTGATTGAAAATTTTAAAAATGTAGAAATTGAAAAATCCTAAAAATGAAATATCTAAAAATTGAATCGAAAAATTGAAAACAGAGAAATTGAAAAATTGTACATTCAAGGAACGGAAAAAATTGAAAATCGGGAAATTGAAAAACTCCAGAACTAGAAATGTAGAAAAACTGAGAAATCGAAAAATTGAAAACCGAAAAATCGAAACATGGAGGATTTGGAAAAAAAGAAACATCGAGAAATCGAAAGTGGAGAAGTGAAGAATTTAGAAATCGGGATATCGAAAAATATTTAATTTTAAAAATTGAAAATTTAATTTTAAAAAATCCAGAAATTGAAAACAAAACATCTCGATAAACCGAGAAATCGAAATTTTGATAAAACTGAAAAATCGAAAAAATAAATAAAACGAAAAAAGTAAAATTTAAAAAACGAAAAATTGAAAAATCTAAAAATTGAAACATCAAAAAACGGGAATTGAAGAAATCGAAATAACTAAAATATCAAAAAATTGAAATATCTCGAAATATTGAAGGATCGGAAAACGCAGAAAACGGGAAATCGACAGGTCGAAAAATTGAAAAATCAAAAATCCGAAAAAAATCTAAAATTTAGAAACGTCAAAAACTGAAAAATCGTACAACTGAAATATGAGAAAAAAGAAAAATCGAAAAATAAAAAACTCGTGGAATGGAATTTTTTAAAAGGTGAAATCTTCTTAGGGGCTCTAATTTTTTTTAGAAAAGAACAATATGAAACCCCGGTGCTCCCAATTGTCCTTTATTTAAAATGCGAAACCTTCTCGGGAAGCCAATTTGTTTTTTTTTTTTCTAAAGGTGAAACCTTCTCGAGGAGCCCAATCTTTTTTTTTTAAGGTGAAACTTTCTCAGGAGCTCTATGAGTTTTTTTAAGCAGGAAGAATGTGAAACTTTCTCGGAGGTCCTAATTGTCTCTTTTTTTAAGAAGGTGAAACTTTCTCGGGGACCCAAAAAATCTTTTTTTTTTTAAGGTGAAATAATCTTCTCAGGGCCACTAAATATTTCTTTTAAGAAGGAATAATGCAAAACCTTCTCGGGGGCCGCAATTGTGTTATTTTTAACAATTTAAAACCCCAACAGTATTTTTTTTTAAGATGAAACCTTCGGAGCTCCAAGTGTCTTATTTTTCAGAAGGTAAAATATTTTAGGGGCTACAATGTTTCCAATTGTCTTTTTTTTAATAAAGTGAAATCATCTCGGGGTTCCAAACTCTCTTTTTTAAAAAAAGGTGAAATCTTCTCGGGGACCCCAACAATATTTTTTTTTAAAGAAAGTGA